TTTAATAGTTATTTTACTTAAGTAGGATTAATTAATAAATGAGATCGCATTTTTAATCTTGTTCGCGGGGAAAAAATAGAACTTGGGCTCGAGCAACCCATTTTTAGGCTTAATTTTTGGACATAGCCCATAATTCTTAGGCCCATACCCCTAACCTAATCCTTACCCTATATAATAGTACCTAGACCCAAAAATTGAGATCAGCCGCTTAACACCAAAAAAAGACCCCCTCCTATCGAGTCCCCATCTTCTTCATAGAGGAAATTCCATGGCTTCTTAACAGCAGCTAACACCACTTCACACAACACCTACCACATCACTTCCACCAGCAGCACCCTAACTCACGCCCGTCACCATCCTCCATCTATGCCTCACCAGCGACTCCACTACCCCCATTCTCGTCTTTCCCCATACCTCTCTCCAGTTCTGTAGCTTTTGCCATCGCCACCATTTAAGCCGTCGTCTCCTGAGAGTCAATCACAAAATAGCACCAAAAAAACCATTAAACTCTAGCCATGAAACTCTACTCCTCATCATCCTCCCAAAATTAAAGAAGACGCACACTCACAAACGAGCAAAAAGAGAACCCTATAGCTGAAAGAAGAAAAGTTGCGCAGTAGCATTATTTGGAAAGGAAAAACACAGCTGCTTGAGAAAAAGAAGGTAGCAGCTGCTGCTGATTTTCTTCCTCCAAAAAAAACTCATGAGAGTTAAATAATTTAAGCTCAAACCGCTGCCATTTTTCCGAGAAAACAGATCCAAAATCCTCCATTAATCCCGTGAAGCTCTGTGCTCGAGGTCGTCGCCGACGAGGTTCATACGAGTTGCTGCGTCGAGTTCCGGTTAGTGGCCTAGCGAACGTCTTTGTCTTATGGATTTGTAGAAGTTATATTGGAGGTCAATTTTCATCTCTTCTTTATGCATGATTTTCTGTTGCTTGTAAAACTTTTCTCTTGTAAGGTCACCGTAAGGGCCGTTCTCGTTAGCTTGGAAAATTTGGTGAAACATAGTGTATGAATGAGTTTGTCCGTTTGTGTGTTTAGCTCCTACCTTTTTTTTTAGTGGGGGTAAATATGTGACTACTTTGAGTTGATATATATACACATGACATTATGATTAAAAAAAATATTTTTAAATAAGTTCAATAGTAAAAGTGAGTTGTCATATTCTGTAAATTCTTGTAGGTATCTATGCAAAGTTTTTTTTTTTTTTGCTTTGTTTATGAATTAATTTTATCCTTTTGTCAAATTTAAAGTGAAAGTAGACTAAGTTTTAATGGTGCTGAAAGCAAATTGTTAATAGTTTGTGACAAAATTGATGTTTGGACCTTTGATTCGGTTTAGATGAAACAAATTCGGGCCTGAAGTAATTTTGGGTCTCATTGTTTAAGTTGGCCCAATCTTTTTTCAAAATACATGTAGTTAGCCCATCCTTTGCAAATTAATTGACATCAAATATTTTCAATCGCTAGAAAGCTTTAGGCGTACTCTTAATCTACTATCGTGATTGTGTACACGTCCGCATGATATGGTTACGATTTCTAAAAAGACTCGAGGGATGCGTTCGCACAACTTCAACTAAACTTTCTTAATAAATCAACAAAAAGCGTTATTAATCGTGGACACGTTCGTGTGACATGATTTTGACCCGCCAAAAGAAAAGAGTATACGTACGTGTAATTCAATTCTTTAATTACGACTAAAAGCGGTAAAAAGATAAATGCACATAGTTCCTAAAAACGAGTAGTTAAATAATTTAAGCCAAGTATAAATCGCTAAGCGACCGTGGTAGAAGTACGGAACTCGAGAATGCCTAACACCTTCTCCCGAGTTAACAGAATTCTTTATCTAGAATTTTTGGTTCGCAGACCTTTAAAAAATAACATTTTCCTCGATTTGGGATTTTAAAATAACCGGTGACTTGGGGCACCAAATAATTTATTCCAAGTGGCGACTCTGAAAAATGAATAAAATAATCTCATTTCGAATAAAGTCACTTAAATTGGAAAAACTCCCTTATATACTTCCCTCGGGTGGGTAAAAAGGAGGTGTGACAATTACCCTTTTTTTTTTTAACTCACTCTGTTTATCTCTTCTTTCCAATCTTATAT